CCCCAAAACCCCAAAACCCCAAAACCCCAAAACCCCATTTCTACAATTTCTTGTTGAAAACAAATATGGCCTTTGAATTATATAATTATTCAAAATTTCAATTTGATGGTACTTTCTTTAATCTAAGAGCTTGGAGGCTCCCTTAGTTTACGAAGAATAAGGAATAGTTTATTACCGCTCTTAAATTTAGAAGGTTCTTTGCCTGTAATTCCAGTCTGCATCTGCTCGACACTCTCATGTAGGCTATTATTAGTGTATTCTCCCATGTTGAAATTATCTGACATTTGGGTGAGACCTTCAAAATTAATCCCTCCTGTGCTAAGAATGCTTTTGTTCTTCTTATTGGTCTGAAATTTCTTATACACACCTGCAGAGACTCTTAAGTCTACTGAAGGGAGATTTTGGCCAATAGATCCTGCAAGGTTTACCTTTTCTGTTCCAACTTGCCTTCTCATTGTTCGACTTACAATGGGATTACTTCCTAATTAAAAATTTAAGCTTAACTCAAGTAGTAAAAAGATTGAGAATAATGGCTTACATGAATCATGAAGCATATTATCAGAATTATCTATTGAAACTCCCACGTTCGACATTGTCTGATCTCCATTCACACTTGCTTGTGATGCTACTATGGAGAAGAACGAGATGAAATTTGAAGCATCCTGAGACTCTCTTCTTTCTTCTGTTGATAATGAAAGGAATGGATGATTTAAGAGATCCTCAGCTGTAGCTCTTTTTGTATGGTCTGCACAAAGTCATCAGTAGAGAAAGTCTTGACACATTTTAGATCAATTTATATCAATAATAGGAGGTTCATCTAACTCCTTTAGAAAGGAATGCAGCTTCTCTTCCTGGCCCTCAAAAATGCTAAATAATGGTCTTCCTGCCAGCATCTCATACAGAATTAACCCAAGTCACCATATATCAAAACTAGAATCTGGATGATAAAAATCTTGCTTTCACATCTCTGGAGTAATGATACCCTCTGAATGAATGAGAGGAGTAATTATTGATCTAAAAGCCTCTGGAGGTTCATCAGCTTGTTCTAGTAAGAAGGTTTGTTTCAAAAATGCAAAATCAGCAAGCTTTACAATACCGACATCATCCACAAGCACATTACTTAGTTTCAAGTCTCCATGCAGGAATCCATTATTGTGAAGATTATGAAGCCCATCCAAAATTTGTATGATATATATTTTAGCTAACTTTTCCTTGAAAGTTCCGAAATATTTAAGTATGTTCTGAAGAGAGCCTCCAGGAACGAACTCCATTCCAACATTAATCGAGCAGTTTTCATAATCCTGATCCGCACAGATGAATTCGATAATATTTGGGGACTTTATTTCACTCAAAAGATCCAAATTTTCCTAATTTATTAGAAATTTAACTAAAAATACCTGAATGTAGTCAAGCCTTGCTCTCAGTTGATCCTCAGATAGAGAAGAATACTCGAGAGTTCTAACAATTATTAGCTTTGCAGTATTGAAATGCAATGCACGGGAAATTTTCCCAGTCTGGTTCATTGTAATCACATTTCCAAGATCATATTCTTTCTCATTGTCTGAATAACAACCTATATGAATTGTTACAAAGTGCCGTATATCTATATCTAGCATTTCTAGTCGTTTCTCAAATTGAAAGATATAGATTTCCTAACCTTAATAAAGTGCCTCGATTAAAAACTAGTATATTTATAGCTAAACAATCTGAAATAGCAAAGAGTTAATAGTTATCAAACTTAGGTGAAACTTCCTAGTCTGTCATAACTTGGGATTATACAGTCATTTTTCATTATATTTTAGAATAAATTCCTATCTGTTTACCCTTTCATATGCATGCTTAAGTATTTGAAGGTAGCAAGTAAATTTTAAAACATAATTTTAATTTCCTCAGTATACATTTACTTTTGTGTTGATGGATCAGCCAGACCAGCTATTTTTGGATAAAACTTTTTAAAAAATTCGACTGTATTTTGCAAGGCTTCGAGGGATATTATAAATACCAAAATCTAAATTAGTACTACCTTCACGAGGATACAATATTTAATCTAAAATTTTAGAAAATTTAGAGTTTCCTCGAGCTTTAACTACTCAAAATACACCGAAATTTATCTAGGAAATGGTCAGGATTTGAATATTCTCCAATCTTCTCAACTAATTTATGATAACACGAAGAGTATACAAGTATAACAGTTTAAAGAGTTCACCTTTAGATTCCTCTGACTCTCTAATTTCTCTATCCCTTATTCCTTTAAACTCTTCTTCTTCAAAAGAGACTGATGGATGTTCACCTTCTTCCATAGCCTTATCAATCTCCTCTGTCTTAAAAGCAAGTTTAGGGGTCTCACTAAGTGTCTTTGAGCTTCCATCTTTGACTATGGGAGGCAAGCTGGAATCATTTGGCTCATCCTTCTCTTCTTGCTCTTCACCAGACTTAATCTTGTACTGTGTCATATTCCTTCTCAGCTTCTTTAGGTTGTTGTGTACATCAAAATTGCTAAAGTTTGATTTTTTGTCAAGAATTTTAGAGGCCCTTGCATTTTTCTTTTTGGCCTCTTCAGCTATTTTGTCAAAAATCTTTTTGTTCAGAGTTGTCTTGCTCCTACTCACGGTTCTTGAAGGAGTAGCATTCACTTTTCCTTTATCCTATAAAGGTTGGGGTAATTTTAATGTGACATAGAGCAAAGGAGGATATGGCTATACAAAAGACATCCAATAAAATTCAGCGAGTTAAAACCTAAATTTTCCAGTGCCTCACTCTGCCTTGATTTTAATGTAAAATTTTGGTTGAGGCTTTGGTAAGATATTTTAGAAGAAAGTAGGAAATTTAATAGCCTACTTTAATGCTCTGCTTTGTACAGCAGCTATTTGCTCCCATATTTATATTAAATTGATTATACAATATTAAATTTAGCTCAGGGGTTTTGGGGTTTTGGGGTTTTGGGGTTTTGGGG